CACGGGAGGGTCCCTCTCGGGGCAGGCGTTCTGTGCGTTGGGACGGCTGCGTAAGGACGGGCATCCCCCGCTGCGGGGTCTTAGAGTCCTCTGCCCTCCCCGTCTGCTGTGCTCCGCCCATTCGTCTCTCCCCCCCACCCCACCCCCGCAACAAGGCCCGTCACCGGCCCCACCGCTGTGCCTTCGCCAGAGAGTCCTGTTGCTGGGGTCACACGGGCCGCAGCCTTCTCAGACCGCCTCCTGTCACTCTGACACGCACTCACGGCCCCCTGCGTCCCCTCATGGCGGGATGGCTCACGTCCTCTTCGCGCTGAACACCCTCCCACGGGCTGGAGGGACAGTTCCCGTGTCCGTCCACCCGCTGAAGGACCCCTGGGTGGCTTCCAAGGGTTGGCAGTTACACACGGAGCTGCTGCCGCCCTCGTGTGCAGGTTTCTGTGGGGACGTGTGTTCCCGTCCACCGTGGGGGGCCCTCAGGGAGTGTGATCGCCGGGTCGGATGGGAAGAGCAGGTTTCGTCTTGGGAGAAACCACCAAACCTCCTTCCGAGGTGGTGGCACCACCTGCTTTCCCAGCAGCGGTGACTGAGCGCTCCGGGCGCTCCCGTCCTCGCCAGACTGTGGCCGCTCTCGGAGGGGTGCAGCGGTGTCGCTGCTGTTTGAGTTTCATCTCCCCGGTGACCTGGGACGTGGGGCAGCTTTCCTGATTGGCCGTCTGTGTGTCTTCTCTGTTCGGGTCTTTTGTCTATTTCTAAAAGGTCGTTTGTTTCGTTGTTGAGTTTTCAGAGCTCTTTATATATTACAGGAAACTGTCCTTTATCAGAGATGTCATTGGTAAATTCTTCCTCCCAGGCTGCGGCTTGTCTTCGCACTCTCCTGACATGGTCTTCTGCAGAACACAAGTTTGACGTGTTAACAAAGTCCGGCTCACCCGTCCTCTCTTTCTCGGATTGTGTTTTTGGAGCTGTGTGTAAAAAGTCACCCCCTCTGCAGGGTCCCCCAGGATTTCTCCTGTGTTGTCTTCTCGAAGTTTGATCGTTTCGCATTCTGCATTGAGTCTGTGATCCACTGTGAGTGAATCGTCAAGAGCGTGAGGTCTGTGTCTAGGGTCACTTTTTGCGTGTGGACGTGCCGTTGTTCCCGCCCCACTTGCTGAAGACACGGATGGCCTCATGCCCTGGACAGCGTGTGTGTGGCTGTGTTTCTGGGCGCTCTGTACTGTCCCATCGCTCTCGTTGTCTGTTCCTTCTCCAATACCATAGTGTCTTGATCACTGTTGCTCCATGGTGACTCCTGAAGTTAGATGGTGTCGGTCCTCAACTTTGTTCTTCTCCAACTTTGTGTTGGCTCTTCTGGGTCTTTGCCTGTAACATAAGCTTCAGAATCAGTTCGTCAGTATCCACAGAAGAACTTGGTGGGATTTTGACTGGGACTGCCCTGGATCTGCAGACCAAGGTGGGAATGACTGACATTTTGACAACATTGAGTCTTTCTATCCATGAACATGGGCCATCCCTGCATTGTTTAGTTCTTTGATTTATTTCAGCAGAGTTTTGTAGTTTTCTTCATATAGGTATTGTATATGTATTTGTTATACCTATGTAATTCATTTGTGGGAATGTTAATATAAATTGTATTACATTTTTAATTTCAAATTTCACTTGTTTATTACTGGTATATAAGAAAGTGATTGAATTTTGTATATTAATCTTGTATCCTACTACCTTGCTACAATTGCTTATTAGTTTTGTTTTCTTTTTGTCAGTTGTTTTGGATTTGCTGCATAGATAGTCATGTCATCTACAAACAGACATTTTTATCTTTTCCTTTCCAATCTGTGCATTTTATTTCCTATTCTTGCCTCATTGCATTAGCGAGAATCTGGAGCACGATGTTGCAAAGGGGTGGTGAGAGACACCTGATCTTAGTGTGAAGGCTTCAGGTTTCTCACCACAAAGTGTGATATGAGCTGTGGGGCTGCTTTGCAGATACTCTTCATGCAGCAGAGGAAATTCTGTTTTATTCTTCGTTTACTGAGAGTTTTTACCATGCATGAGTGTTGGATTTTATCAAATGCTTTTTCTTTATCTACTGGTACGATTCTGTGATTCTTTCCAGCTGGTATTGATGACCAAAGTCATTGATCTTGAGTATTAAACCAGCCTCATGTACTTAGGGCAATTCCCCTTGGGCATGGCTGACTGGTTGCCGAAAGGGAAACTGTCTTCAACTAGGCAAGTGCCCTGATTCCTTTTTTTTTTTTTTTAAGATTTTATTTATTTATTTGACAGACAGAGATCACAAGCAGGCAGAGAGGCAGGCAGAGAGAGAGAGGACACAGGCTCCCCGCTGAGCAGAGAGCTTGATGCGGGGCTCGATCCCAGGACCCTAAGATCATGACCTGAGCCGAAGGCAGAGGCTTTAACCCACTGAGCCACCCAGGTGCCCCAGGTCCCCTGATTCCTTAATCTAGGTGAGTGTGGACCAACCAGAGGGGCTCCTGCTTGCCAGACATGTCACCCACTGTGTTTCCAGGAAGGTGTTCTTCTAAACTCTCCGAGAACGGCATGGGCATTTGCTTTTTGGAGACATCTTGGTTTCCTGCCCACCACAGCTGGGCCAAGGCCTTTTGAGCAGCAGCTTCCAGAAGGTCTGCGGGGAGGTGACCCCATCCTCCACTCACAGGGCCAGTAACTGGAGAAGGGACCCATGACTTCAGGGCCATGGCATTTAGAGGCTGACGGCCAGTGGGAACCATGAGGAATTTCACGGAGAGAAAGGAGCTGACTGGGCATCGCTGGGGTCCCTGGGCCTGCCTTGGCCCATGCTGTTGTCTGTCAGCCCAGGACATCAGTGGCTCTTGCGTTCTAAATTAATCTGGGAGACTTCTAGCTGCCTGGGAGGAAGGGCAGTGGTGGGCATATCTGTGTTTAACTTTGCAGACGGCGGAGTCAGGACAACAGGGCCACTGACCTGGAGGCTGGTGAGAGTCCGGCTTCCTGATCTTAGAGCATCTCCCTGACTGCACGCTGAGGCCCCATGAATGGCGAGATGAGGGGACGGTCCCAGCAGCTGCCATCTGGGCGGACAGCAGTGTCTGTCCTCGAGCATCAAGTAGCCACTGTCTCCCCGGAGCCTGTGGTCTTCCTGCGAGGCCCCCCTGCTCCCTAGCACCGAGGCCAGACTGCCGTTCCGACGAGACTGCGGTCTGCGCTGCGCTCGGCCACGCCCCACTTCCTGTCTGCGGGAGGGAGGGTCTCACCTGCCGGGGATGGGGAGCCCTGACCGGCCGGCGGTGCTGCCATGGCGGGAGGTCAGGGCCATGCCGGGCCGAGATGCCCAGCACGGTCCCACGTGGACCGCCCCTGGGGGGTACCCAAGGGCTTGTCCTCTTGTGGGTGGCTTCTGTCTTTGTCTGTGGTCCTCAAAGAGCTCTTTGCAAGACAGGGCTTGCCTTAAGAAGTTGGGGTTTGGCCTTGCCTCCCTCGGCTCTGACCTGGCCCGCTGCTCAGGGCCGGACGTCAGGTGCCCAGCACACACCCCCACACACACGTTCACACTCACTGCCACATTCAGTCGTTCACGCACAGGGTCACGGGCGCGCTCACCGCCTTGCTCAGGATGCCCACTGGCCAGCAGCCCCTTCCCGGAAGAGCATCCCCCGCCCAGCCTCGGGTAATTCTCACCTTGGAGAATGACCGCACCCAGGCTGCGGCTGGGGTCTTCAGGGAAAAGCCTTTGGGTTGGCGCCTTTGGCTGGACTGTGGCCCCAAAGTCCCGGCTACAGCCGGTAAAGCGTGCATATGGGAAATCCCTCAAGTGTGGGTCTGTCCTTGAACTGCTATTTGCCCCCACGGCTCTCCCCCTCCCTGTGTGCCGCAGTGACTGCGCTCCCCGGACAGAGAGGTGGGCCCTGCCCTCTGGCCCCGGCACCTGACCCTCCCGGCCCGAGACCGTCAGGCTGCTGGTGGCCCCTGCCTGCCCAGGGAGCGTTCTCCGGGCTTCACCTGAAAGGCTCCGGCAGGTCCCGGTCAAGTCAGGCCCTGCTGGGGCCCAGGACCGGCATCATGGAGATCATGGCCCATGTCCCCACCACAGCAGCCTTTGGTCTCACCTGGAAGGACAAGAGATGAGGGGAACACTGGGCCCATGGCCGTGTCCCCAGCCTAGACTCGAGCTGCTTCCATGTGGTGGGAGGGCATGGGGGAGGAAGGCAGACCGTGGGCTCCTGAGAGAGCGAACCAGTGGGGGCTGGGACTCCCAGGGGCATTTGAGAGGAAGGTATGAGCGTCTGTTGGTGAAGGAACCCCAGGTCTCCCTGTGGCTCGTCAGCCACTTGGCCCCCTGCAGGTCAGGGCTGTGGCAGCCCCACATGGACACGGGGGGAGGGGACACCGAGGAAGCCCCTGACAGAGCTGGGGCAGCTGGGTGGCTTCCCTGTATTCCAGGGGTGACACAGGCCCGGAACCCCAGGACTGGCTCATGCCAGGACAGAGCTTCCCAGAGACAGCCCCTGGTCTGGTCTCCTGCCCCGGGGGTTGAGTGTGCGGGCGGGTCAGTAACGGAGATCAGAGTGCCGGGAGCTGCGGGGCCTTCGGGTTTCTCTCCTTCATGTGACTGACGTTGGCAAGGCGGGCGCCCCGGGCACCCTCACTGGGGCTGGAGCCCGGTTCCCGCTGGCTGAGGATGGGGGCGTGGGTCATGGGGTGGTGGGAGTGCAGGCCCTGGCCCCCGCGGCAGGCTGGGGCTCTGACAGGGTCGCCGCGCCCCGCACAACCTTGCCCCCTCCAGCCCCTGGTGGGACGGTTCCTGTCGCGTCCTCCAGGGGCCCGTGAGCCCACTGAGGGAATGGAGCCGTGATGTGTGGACCGTGTGGTGCCTGGAGAAGCAGGGCAGGTGCCAGGCGGGTGGGGAGCCCCTCGTGACTCAGTGTCCCCTGGCACAGCGCCTGCCCGGTTACCCCCAGGCACACCCTCACGGGGGGTCTCTCTCTTCTTTGCAGAAACTCTGGGCGCGGAGGTGAGGCTCCTGCAGCTGCTCGGAGAGCCCCCGCCCCAGCAGGTGACCCAGGTGGAGGACCCCGACGTGGGGCCGGCCTTCGTCTTCGGCCCGGATGCCAACAGCGGCCAGGCCGCCCGCTACCACTTCCCCGGCCGGTTCTTCCGCGACTTCTCGCTGCACTTCCACGTCCGGCCCGCCACCGAGGACGCGGGGGTGCTGTTCGCCGTGACGGACGCGGCGCAGGCGGTGGTCTCCGTGGGCGTGAAGCTGTCGGGCGTGCGCGACGGGCACCAGCAGATCCAGCTGCTGTACACGGAGCCGGGGGCCGCGCGGACCCACACGGCCGCCAGCTTCCGCCTGCCCGCCTTCACCGGCCAGTGGACGCGCTTTGCCCTCAGTGTGGACGGCGCGACCGCGGCGCTGTTCGTGGACTGCGAGTTGTTCCAGCGGGTGCCATTGGCGCGCTCCCCGCGGGGCCTGGAGCTGGAGCCCGGCGCTGGCCTCTTCGTGGCCCAGGCCGGAGGAGCGGACCCTGATAAGTTCCAGGTAACCCTATGGCCACCGTCCTCGGGGGGGAACCTGCCCTGGGGGCAGGGGTCTGTCCAGACACGGGGACCAGGACGATAGCAGCCTCCTGCCTTGGGCCGCCGTCCCCCAGAGCGGGCCACCCCTGGGGCAGAGCTATCTGCCCTGCAGGGGTCCGAAGCCCTGGGGGTCCCGGCTCTGTCAGGCTCCCGCATGTCCCCCTCCTGGTGCTCTCACCCCTTTGATCCCCCCGCTCAGGAGGCCCCTGGGAACCACTTTCCTCCCTGGACACCCATCCCGCCACGCCAGAGCCCCCCCTCTGTGTGTGGTGCCTGCAGTGACCCTGGGGCCCCACTGGCTGAGGGGGTCTGCGTGCAGACCCACGGGACTCGTGCACGCCTAAAACGGGGAGTTTCAAGACGGTAACAGCAGAGCGTAGCACTGAGCCTGGGCCAGGCCGGCGGTTCCCGTCACCCTGTCAACCCTGCTGACCGTCCTCATTTTCACCATCCCGGGTGTCCGCGGCTCGGTTTCAGGGCAGCAAGGGCAGAAGTGCCCCAGGGACCCTGGCTGGCCGCTGTCCCCACCTGTCCTCAGGGAGGCCCCTGTCCCCTCTGCCTGGCCTGGACCTTCCCAGAGCCCGGGTGGGGAGTCTTTCTCCCGGCACTCAGCCTCCCACCCTCCGCAGGCGCTGATTCACGAGCCCCAACCCTGCCCTGAGAGCCCCCCGCGGCTGGGACGCCCCTGCGCCCCGGCCAGACAGGGTCCCTGTGTGTGCCTAGCGGGGCGGGGTCCCCAGGACAGAAGGCTAATTATTGCCTAGACAAAGGCTGCCTGACAGACGTTGTTCTAAGTCCTGGTGACTCGGGGTCTGGAAGCTGACCTTTCACCTCTGACGGGAACTCCTAACCCTGGGGTCTGGGGCCGGCAGGACTTTGACGCCAACCTGGGCCTCTTTGTGTTTTCGTTTTGATCCTCAAACATGATTAACGGGAAGAAAGGCAGACAGGGCCGTCCCGGCGAGGGAGGGACTGTGTTCATGGGGGGTGTCCCACAGACGTAGATGGGAAAGCACCCCAGATGGTCCCTGCGTCTGTCTTTCTGTCCTTCTTTCTTTCTTTCTTTTTTTTTAAAGATTTGTTTATTTGAGAGAAAGGGCACAAGTCAGGGAGGAGTGCAGGGACGGGGGCAGGGAGCCCGGTGCAGAGCTCGAGCCCAGGACCTCCCCGGGGTCATGACCGCCCGGTCCCCAAGTCCGTAACAGTTCAGCAGAAAGGCTGCCTGTGTGCTGATGGGGACAGCGTCACCCATGTCATGGCGTGCCACAGGCCACCGCTCTCGTGGACAAGGACGCCCGGCCGTATCAGGGCTGAGCCGTACCAGGGCTCTGTGTCACGCACACAGAACACAGCCGCCCGTCAAAACAGGCACACGGAGTCTGGGTGTTTTACCGTGCATGTCTTGGTTGTTCGTGTAGACAGACTAATTTTTCCACGTGATTTTTGGCTGTCTGAATTTCTTCTTTTGTGTCTGGTCTTTTTATGTTCTTTGCATTTTTGTTTTGATGGGTTCGTCCGTTTTTTATTGATTTATACAAGCTCTTTATATATGAAAGAAACTTGTCCTTCGGTTTGTCCACTGTAAATTTTATCTCCCAAATTGCCTTTTGCCTTTTTGTCATGTCACTTTTATGCTTAAACCATGGAGATATTGAATGTGTTTATGTGGAACACGTCCATGGCGGTGACATGGTCCCAAGCCTCTGAGGTAGGGAAGACAGGAACGCAGCGAGGTGTGGGCTCCCCGCCGGCACTGGGTGGCGGCTTGGCTTCCAGCGGACTTCACTTGGGCCGGGTCCGCCGCAGCCCAGCACGGTCTCGCTGCTCGCAGCCCTGCAGGCTGGAGGCCTCGGGAATTTCCCGTGTGGGTGTTCGATCCGGTTCCAGCCGGCCGCTGGGAGGGGCTTGGAGGGCGGATGGCTTCAGCGCTTTCCAGACTTTCTGAATCGAGGTTCCCGGGGAAGAGTCCCTCCCGTCATGTGACTTGTCAGATTTGGCAGAAGCAAGCGTGGGGCTCCGGGAGGAAGCTGGGCGTCCCCTCCAGCCCTCCCGGCCGCCGGCCCCACAGAGCCTTCATTGTTCCTCTCAGGCCACAGACTCCGGTTTGTTCTTGGGTCAAGAGCGGGACGGAGCGTCTGCGGGGACATCACGCCCCGACCCCGTTACTGCGGCACTTTGCGCAGAGCCGTTTCCAGCCCGTGCTCGGGGCCGGGGGCCTTTGTGGTATTTTTGACTATGTCACGAGCTCTGGGGCCACGTGTCCCTGGCCGGACTCTCCCGCTCGCCATGGGTTCGCGTTTCCCCGCGGACGCTTCCTGGCGGCTCTCGGACCCGGGTCCCACAGACAACCCGCCCGGGCGGTGGCACCTCGTGCCCGATGGTCCCTTACTCTGTTCGATGGCGACCCCATGGCCATGGCGACGTTCCTCGGCCGTGTGGGCTGCGTGAGAGAAGAAAGCCGTGCCCAGTCCCCCGGAGCTGGGGGGTCGCCCGCCAGCCATAGGCAGGCTGGAGGCCGGAGATGGCACGGAGCAGGGCGGGGACACGTCATCAGGGTTAGGGGTCCCCCAGCCCAGCGCCAGCCTGCCGCTCCAGACCGAGGGGGAGTGGGGCGCCGACACCTGGGCCGACAAGCTCTCTCACCCCCTTTTATGCAACTGAAGTGACCACGAGGTTCGAGGCCGAGGCATTCCTGCCAGTCCCTGCCTTCGCCGAGGGAGAGATGGGTGGAGGTCGTCTGTGATGGGACAACTTGCCCGGACGTGACCCGGCAAGAAGGGACCACGAGGAAATCAGATGCTCTCGTGCCAATAGTCAAGGCTTGACATGAGCAGGGGCAGAAGCCAGTGGCGCAAGGAGTGCGGGGAGACGGGGTTGGGGGGCCATCACAGCTGTGGCTGCCGTAGGGAACAAGGGACGAGGCCGACCTGGGGCTGGGCCAGCGGAGGATGGCACAGCCGAGTGCGGGCAGGGGTGAGTCGGCCCGGGAATGCCACAGGCCATGTCCCCCACGCAGCGTGTCCCGCCCCGCACTCAGCCCGGACACAGCCCTTCCTGGGTCAGACGCTGCCCGGAGAACTCTGTGGCCCCAGGAGTTGGGGTCCCCGGGAGGCGCCCCGCACCGGTGACCTCAGACCCTCTCGCCCAGCACGGAGCTCTCGTCACATCCACAGCCACGCTGCGTGGCCCCGGCGTGGCAGCACAGGACGTAGTTCAAACAGCCTTTGTTGACCAAGTGCGGCGCCTCCAGATTTCACAACAGTCGCTTCTGTCCCGTATTTGCAGCGGGTCTTGTGATGCTTGCACAACTCACATCTTCCCCGCTAAATGTGTCCCTGGGGAGCTGCGCACCCCAGGCCCGCACGCCCCGCTCGCCTTTGGCACCGGCCTCCTGGGGAGACTCTCAGCGCCTGCGCTGGTGCTGGGCCTGCTCTGTGGGAAGCCTGGAGCCTCGAGGGACAGGGTCGGGGGAGACTGTCATGGCGGAATGTCTGCCCCGACCCCACCTGCCGGGAGCGCCCGTGCCCTCCCCTCATCACAGCCGCCCCGAGGGGCCAACGCACTGCCCCTGGAGAGCACGACCTTCTAGGATTTAACGTCTGCCCCGTGTCGTCCTTGTGTCTTCAGACTTGGCGACCCACGTCACCTGGGCCACTCTATCCTCCCGCAGCGAGCAGGACACTGCTGCCAGCCCTGGCGTTTGTGAGCCCAGGATGGCCTGTGTTTCCTGCGTCCAGCGGTGCCTCCGGGAGCCTGGATGTTGGAGGGCACCTGTGTGTGCCTGCCCTGCTCCTGGGCTGCGCACACGTACTCATGGGCGCGTGCACACACGCACACTCGTCACACGTGTGCTCTCGCCGCACTCACGCTCACATGCGCGCTCGTTCATACGTGAACACGTGTTCGCACATAACCCGTCCACACAACGCTCTCACGCACATGCTCACACACCGCTCCCGTGCAGCGTGGCTGCCCTCCGTGGTGGCTGGAGCGTCCCAGAACTTGAAGGACGGTCTCCCGTCTCTCAACACCCCAAGCACGGTCCACAGCCGACTCCCCCGCCATGGCGTGGCCTGTCTTCCCTCGTCCTGGAGCCCCAGCCCTGGCAGGGGCCTGTCTGCAGCCCCTCCCCGTGCCGCCTCTCCTTCACCCTTCAGTGCGTCACGGGGGCTCGGGCCGGCCCCTGGAGGACGCCCGCTGTGGGTCATGGGGGCTCGGGCCGGCCCCTGGAGGACGCCCGCTGTGGGTCATGGGGGCTCGGGCCGGCCCC